GTGTTAAATATATATAACAGTAACATTGCATTTCTTCAGGTAGGACACTGACACCTGGCAATTTTCTACTTTCAATCTTGTTCTAATTCCAAATTTAAATCAATAATTTTGACTTCCTGATTTACACTCACACAGATGAAAGCATGAAGCATTTTCAGAAAAAAAAGTGGTAAAGAGTTCCAAGATTTCAATAGTGTTTTTATCAGACAGATTCCATGAAAAAATTTTAACAAGTTTCCCTGAATTCTTGATTGGAAGTAGACCTTGTTTCTGTTCTTTATCTGTATAAACAAATTTGAGTAAACCCACTGTTGTCCCACAAGTACAGGTTGTTTAGTTTGCTGTTTGTGTCAAATGAGTCACCTCGGCTGCTGTTCTGGTTCGAGTTAGAACAGAAGTAATTCTGATCAGTGATTTTACTTCTCAGCTCAGTCTCTGCCATGTAACTGCACTTTCTGAAGTTAATGGCATATTTTCACAGACAGCGTCTGCTTCCAACTATGCTGATGTTCAATGTAAACAGTTACTACCAAGGGCTGCTATGCAGAAAGGCTTTTGCTCATACTGGCTCCCATGGACCCCAAGGTCACTGCTAAATACTGTTGGGGGGCGCAGAAAGTAAAAGGCCGTGGGGAGGAGTGGCCAGGACAGGTGACCCTAAACTGACCAACAAGGGATTTCATTCCATGCACACCATATTCAGTGTAAAGTTGAGGGATCACGAAGGTCAAGTCCTCTTCTCCAATGGCCAGCATCTAAAAAGGACTCTGCTTGTTCTGCCTTCAATCCTGATAAATGTGTTCCTGAATCCAGTTCCCATCTGCAATTAAGTCCAACCTGGGACATCCCCAGTGCCTGCTCCACAGCTTCAGTGGTGACAGTGACATAATTGCCATCAGATGGGTTGGGTTTGATGGTGGTTTTGTATATATTTGTATATGGTCCATTTTATTATTATTATCTTCAACTAAGTCTGTCTTTGTGATTCCCTTTCTCTTCCCCTTTGGGAAAGGAGAGGAGTTGGTGGTGGAGAGCAATCTGTCATTCATCTAGTGGTCTGCCCAGACTTAAACCTTGACAGCTGCCTCCCCAAAAATGAAAAGAAGACAATCTTTAGAAAATCTCGGGTGAGGCCCCTAAGATTTCCCTTAAGGGAAAGGGAAAACAAAGTTTTAGTTGAAAGTGTTCAGTTTTATTGTGGTGGTGTCGAATCAAGTCATGGATAGTAAAACTACTATAAATATCTAGCTGACATTGCTTGCTTTATCAGTGAAGTTTCAATGCAAACATTGCAGGAAGTGAAACAGAAATATTAGAAAAAGACCCTTTAACATTGATTTAAAGAACAATAAAAATGGTTCATGTGAAAAACAAAAAAATGATTCACCTAAAATTAGACGTTTGATGGTTATTAAAAATGGACTTTGAAAAGACAAACAAATTCTATAGAGCTACCAAAATGCTACATGTAACTAGTCATTCCTAGTTTTTTATCTTGTTGGCATCTGTATTCACCAGCTGGATATTTGGTACAGGCCACATATACAAGATCTTTATATTTTTATTACATTGAAGTGCTCTCAGTTTATATTATTGACAGAAATCACTTGCATTCTATGATTGATAAGAAAAGGTAAGAAAAATAACATATTTTGTTGGGAAGATACAATACATGCTTATACTGTTACATGTGTGAACCTCATTATTCTACTTCAAAGCCTCTTTCGTAAAAAAAGCAGGGATGAAAATTCAAAGCATGTCAGTCTTCCAAGCAAGAGAAACTCAACATGAGGTTATGTCATTTTCTCCTTGCAGCTCTCTGGAAAGCTGCAGCAGCCAGGAAGTGATGAAAATAGAGACAAATGCCCAAGCCAAAAGCTGATGAGCTCAAGGGATTTACTAGGGTGGCTCCATACTGTGTATAGACCCCTTGGAAGATTCACTATAAATAAGAACAGACCCATTGGCTTTTATGATAAATATCCTGACCCTCCCAGAAGCTACATTGCTGTAGGAGACCAGTGGATGTCTACCTTCCCCTGAAATAAGCTACATAGGAGGATTGGAAATGCCCTTAAATATGAGATGAGAGAATCCATAATGTCTGGCATAAATGAATCCTGAAAATACCTGTATGATATCTAGCACTGTAGAGCTACTTCCCCAAAAAGTCACCACAAAAAAATCTGATTTATTCTGATTGGAGATAATAAATAAATGGTATTTACCATGTATACATCTAACCAACCAGCAGCTAGATAACATGATGAATAGACAGGAGTTAGATGTGTGTGAGAACCTCTATGCTTAGTAATATTATTTTACAGGTGGTTTTGGCAGGAGTTAAGACCATTATAAATGTGGGCCCCTGATTGTTCTTCAGTGTGGTAAATGCTTGGGTTATTTCAAATTAATCTAGAAATTATATGAAGATAAGATTATTAAAACAAGGAGCTTTGTTCACCTGTGGCCAACCAAACTTTCTGGAAGCAATAGATGCTTTCCTGAAGACAGGAAGACTCAAAGAGGAACACCAGTAGCCTTCCAACACCTGTGAGAAGGGCATCAAGCGGAGGGAGGACAATGAGGCTTGTGAGAGACAATGAGCAAAACTGAAAAGTTCAGGCTGGACATAAGGAAAAACTTTTTCATGATGACAGTGAAGTATTGGAACAGAGCTTAGAGAGGTCATACAGTCTTCATCCTTGGAGAATTTCAAGGCCAAGCTGAACAAAGTCCCCAGCAGTTTGGTTTGTTCTAATAGCTGATGCTTTTTTGAGCAAGTGATGGGATTAAAGACCTGCTGAGCTCCTTTCCAACTCAAATTTGCCTATGCACCCAAGAGGCAAACTTTGAAGAGTGGAGGCAGTTCGTAAAAAAAGTATATACTTTACTTCTTAAGACTATTATGTACTGAATGAGCAATATTTTCTGTCCACATGATATTATGAAAATTTCCAAAAGAAGCAAGGAAGACTTTGTATTTATTTATATGGTTTTGTATTATTGGACACACTTTTATCCAACATCTGCTTATGTGTTTAGTCTAATTCTAGTCTCAGATCATTCTGCCAATCACGTATTACTTTGCTGATGGTAACTGAATTCCACACCAATTTTACAAGATTGTAAAACAAGAGAATTTTGAAACAAGAAAGCAAGCAATCTTTTCTCTCTGTGAGTCAGATGTGTGTCAAACTGCAGACAAAACACTGAATACATATTTGTAATAGCAGCGTCATCAAGTAGTAGCAGCATCACATAGATCATACCAGGATACTTAACCAGTTACTGAAAGCTACTGGAAATGCTTCAATGTCAAAAGAAATGAACTGTTTTACTGGTTCTTGTGGCCATTTCAAATAAATTCATCATAATGGTGATTTTGCTACAAAACAAGGACAGCTGCTTTTTTACCCAGCAAGAGTTTGGAACCTCTGGTCCTTCGCCAGCTAGTTAATTTGGAGAGAGGCAGGATGGTGGCCTTTCTCTCCTCAGAGAAGCTGTATAAACATCAATTCAGTGTATATTTAATACAGCATTTATATATAACAGAGTAAGAAGAAGAAAAATAAAGGCAGACAGATAAAGATTCTGGCAGAGGAAGGACATTTTAATATAATCTCCAACCAGGCAGACATGCAAAAGGGGGAAGACCTGTAAACTCACTCTCTTCAGAGCAACAGCAGATCTGACTTTTATGTCACTTTGTACATACTAAATTCTGCATAAAACTTACCAATTTATGTTGTAGCTATGCTCACTTCTAAAAAAAATTAAAATGCAGAAGGTATTACTGAAATATTTAACTGATTGCATCTTAGTTGTTAATTTCATAAACATATATCTTCTGTAGGTTTGAACATGCCAATCCACCATGTACTTCTGAATAATTACAAAATTGCAACAGAATTAAGTATCAACAACTTTAGGAAATATACATCCTTGAGAATGATATGTGACTTCAGCCAGTATATTGCTGTATTTTTATGTGAACAACACAAACCCTTCCAAATGCATGACTACAAGCTTCTCACTAGCATGAAAAACGATGGCTTCAGTCTGGAAGTATGTATAACTCAGAGAAATAGAGTGCAATGTATTTTTTGATTTGTTTCAGTTGATGGCTTCAGTCTGGAAGTATGCATAACTCAGGGAAATAGAGTGCATTTTGCAATGTATTTTTTGATTTGTTTCAGTCTGATGTGTAAAGTAAGTTGCTGCATAACCAGATATTGGTTATAATATGTAGTACTGAGTCAACAGTGAACTTACATTGTGTATAAGATGTAACTGCCTTTAAATTTTAACACCCCATTTGTGTTTTACAAGTATTTGACCTGCATTACTTTAAGCCTATTGAGTGTCATTGCTTCTTCTGAAACTTTTACATTCTGGGAGGGTGTATGTTTTGCACAACATTGAATGTATTCAAGTTGGGAAATGCTTAACTCTAGAATTACTTTCTAATAAAAAATTACTTTCATATTACAATGCAATATTAATATTCTAGTAATCTGATATAAAACCTCCTATTCCATAAAAATCAGCAAAAGGTATCAAATGAAATGTTATAGAATTTTTAAACCATGTAACTACTACTTTTGCACAGATATCTCTGGATGTCAACTAGATGTCATTAAGAAAGCCTTAAGGAAATCAGTGCAAACAAAACTATTGTCCACAGTAATAAGTGTTCCCCTGATTAAAGGTGTAGAAGAGCCTTAACACATTAGATAATGCTAACATTTAGAAAACATACAATGAATTCTCAGTGAACAAATATATTGGGCAAACTCCTGATTGGTTGTTTTAGTGTTGCTTAATCTTTATGCAAGCTGAAGGTACTGAGTGCAAATATTCAAATATCATTCCCTGGAGAAATGTTTTTTGCTGTCAAGGAGAAATCATTTCTACACCTTTACAAATTTAACCTGTATGCCTAAGAATAAAGGTCTTTAATAGTTTCTAAAAGGAAATAGTGGACTGCAACAGGAATTTCATTTGTTCCCCAAGCCTGAAAGGAAATAAAGAATATGTCAGAATACAGTTCAGGTTGTGTTGTTAGTTTTAAAACAAACTTCAGAAAAACAAAACAAAAGAAAGGAAAAAAATTAGTTTACATTTCTTAAGACAAAAAAAAAAAAATACATCTATTTTTCTGCATTTTCATTTCTCTACTTCAAGACTGCACAAGGCAACATAAGCATGTTTGCAGAGTAACCCTTTGTAAAAAGCTTTCCAAAGTAGTTACTATAACGATGTAAGAATCCCAGCAAAGCCCCTGTGAAGGTACCTGCTTTAATTCTGCTCTGTTTAGAGAGCAAATGGTAACGACCTACAAACTCTGAGGTAATCTTCACTGAGATCTCTCATTCCCTCCCCTTCTTTACTGTCACTAAGGATATTGAGCATTCCCATGCTTTCTGTTTATGAAACTTATTTTCCACTCCACTGCCTTCTGCACACATTTATACCTTCCCCTCACCTCCAGCTTATGTAAAGTAGAGTCCTTCATTTGCTTCCAAGGTACTGATAGCATACAACTTTTTTTCCCCAAAGTATTCAGGTAGAATACATTCTTTCTTCTTTTTTTTTTTTTTTCTTTCTCTCTGTTTAACTCTACCTCGCATAGTTTTTTGATAATAAACAAAACCAAGTCTGTGCCCCCCAAAAGAAAACTCTCCAGTTCTTCACTGTGTATGCACCTCTTATATAACTAACCAAGCACAAACAGTATAGCAGTTACTGTGTTTCCTTTTAGTTTAGGAAACAATCAGGTAAGAGGGATGTACTCACAGGAAATGGGAACACAAAACACTATCACGGGTATGGGAACAACGGCGTCTTTCAGCCCATTTTTTTCTCCCATTTAGAAAGCCTACCAGTACATCTCATAAATGTCCTCAGGTTTCACTAGGTGCTGAAGAACAAAGTACTTCTTTAGTATTAGTACTTCCTAATACTAATGCATAGATTTTACCCTCTCTCACCTTGCTAAATTAAGAGTTAATGAACAGTTTTTGATCAATCATTCCTGATATCAGTAGCTCCATCCTTCAAATCTGGGAGGTTTTTCCCTTTCCTAACAAGCTGTCAAAGAAGAGAAACCTTCTTTTATCTGCCAGGTTAACCCTAAATCCTTTTCAGAACTTGCTGCTGAGCTGTTTCTTATCTATGACACATCAGGTCCCTACATATTTGTAATATGTTGGTCATACTTAGGAAGCCTCTTTACTTCTTTTTCCCCTGCCTATGCTTTGTGATTAGTTGAGTCATCTAGCCCTGCACTGCCAGAATGACCAAATGCTACTCAGCTACTTAGGGTAGCATGTAGCTCATCTTGAGTAACTGAACTTCAGAACAATTTAAAACGTGTTGACTATGCTCTGTTCTGCAAGAATACCTTTTATAATTTGGGGTCTAATAGTTGTCAATGTTGATAATGCCTAGTCCCTTCTGAAACTGATGCATGATGCTAGGTCTGTGGCTGAAAATCAATCAGGATAGTATGATGCTAGGTAATAGTCTGTGGCTGAAAATCAATCAGGATAGAAAAGGCATTTGACAGACATTCCTGATATGGTGTGATTTAGAAGATCTAACGTGCTCTTGTTAGTTAGATGACCATACTTTGCAGAATAAGACAGATCTGAACCTTTTAACAGCCTGAAATATTTGTTGTAAGACACTTACCTCTAACCTTGTTCTCGTGATATGCCTATAAATTCAACTTGATTTCATTTGCAAAAGAAACCTGACAACAGCTTTCCTAAAGAAAGACAAAAGGGATCCCAAAGCCTAAGTGTGTTAAATGTTTGCTTTGGATGAGTGTAGGGAGGACATTTTTCCAGCCACTGTGTGTTTACCTGACAGTTTTCTGATAAGCAGCATGATACTGAAACCCCATTTTGTGACAGTGTTAACACCATCTGCCAGCTGCTGATAGCTTGCTGAATAATGCTGTCATCAGCACTCAAGTGCTGATGGAAAGTTATTGCTTCAGTGACCACTACCACTTTCATCATCTGTCTAATTGGTTACTGCCACTAAAAACTATTATACAAAAAGAAAGGAAATCACGGGTCATTTTTCTTTATCATGATGGATTAGTTTTAGGCTACCTTGCAGTGCCACCTGTTTGTATTTATTGCTTTCTGCTTCCTGCCAATTTTACTTATCAACACTGTAGAGTGAACTTCATTGCCTACCTATGATTTCTCTCAGTGCCTCATTTGGTGACAAATACCCATAGAAAGTTTCACTAGACCTTGGTACAGTGCAATACCTGTTAAGGGTATACTCTGCTAGACAACGTGGGTCAGTGCCTCATGAGATAGGGTATGGTGCAATCATTTGAGTAGTCTTTCTTTTGTGTCAGTTGTTACACCTAAATTTGTACCAGCTGAAAACCAGGCCAGATAGTTTAAAGAAAATGTATACAAAAAATTTTGGAAGTATTTTAATTCTCAAGAAATCACATTCAAATGCATTTACTTAAGTGTAAAGAAATACACTGTGCAAGCTGCACAGACATACATGCCCCAGAAAGTTTGCTGGTGGTGGCTGAGAAAAACAGACAGCCTTCATAGTTCTACCCTGCAGCACTGAGCTACTGAAATAAATACATGTGAAGAACCCCATGTGTTCAGAAAGGCTGAGAACATAATGTAACATAACTTAAGCCAGAACCAGTTCTCACTTGCGTCAGTGTGAATGTGAAGTAAAGCTATTTTGGCTTTAAAATGCTGTGCTGGAGATTTTGGTTTGGCTTCCTAGTTTTTGGCAGGATTTACCTTTCTTTTGCAGGATGTTCTGTCTTGCTTTAAAGAAAGCTAGGATGTCAGCATCAGCGTGGCTATCTCCAGTCAGAGGAATAGGTGTACTTGAAATCGGTGAGGTCCTGAAATAAGAAAGTATACTTGTGAATTCAAATGAGTAAGAAGGTTATTTTTCTACTCCATTATCTCCTCTCTTTTTCTATAACATTGAGGACTTTGTTCTTCAGAAATGGCGTAGTTTGGACAATAATCAAGCTCAGGACTTCTTAATTCTCTTAAGAAGATGCTTAAGATTAGCCAGGATCTTTTTGGTTTGGTAGGGTTACACGCTTAGCAACTATAAAACCTCTCACAAAGGGTTAAAAATATTTTACTGCTGAGTCAAAGACTTACTGCCAAGAGGAAAAGCTTAATATAGTGAATTTACCAAAGAAATGATGGATGTAACTATGCCACATATTTGTTTGCTTCAGGAAAAACCGTTGCTATTTATTTGAAAAGATCGATAGTATTTCTGCCTACTGTGAGGGAATTAAGTTTTAAAACATACTTAGAAATAAACATTCACATGACATTCATGAAATTTACTGACAGATGCAACCCCTTTGTGCTGCTCAATCTTCAGTCCCAGCTGAGATCTTATATCTACACTGTTAAGTCATTGACTTACCTCTGCTTTTCACAGACAGTCCAGTGATATAAAATGATTTAGTAAAAAGAAGCTGTCTTTATCAGCTAAGAAAACTAAGAATTTGGACTTGTGTCTTTTAATCTCTGTTTGAGATTAAGCATTAAATGAGAATGCCATCAAATGGAATGAGAAATATAGTGATAAAAATTACAATATAGAAGGACAAGTGGAACCGAAGGGAGAAACTTAATTTTTTACATATCCTATCTCTGTAATTATAGTTATTTCCACTCTTCCTGACTACTGCTGTTTAATGGAATTGTGCCTGATATAAACAGAAGTCTGGTAGGCTTGTCTTTGTGCTACTAATTAAGTCCTCTGTTGCTGAATTAGAGAACCAAAGTGGGAAAAAAAAAATAAAGCAGAAATTACTATGAACTTAATGCAGTACCTGGTTTTATGCAGTTTACAAGGTGATCTCAGAACACCAGTAAAGGACTATTCTCTTATTGATTTTAATTTGATTAGTAACAATATAAAAAAAAATACACAATATATTTGAGAAGGTACCATCTAACTTCCATTTTAGATTCTCTTTTTCTTCCTATTTACTTAAACAGAGTGCAATTTAAAAGATTAGGTTTTAGGGAATGAAATTTTCCATGACTTTTTGCTGCTCTAGAAGTGGATTGGTTCAGAAAACGAAAGAAAATCCCCCTTGTGATTTTTTTAATAATGCAGTAGGAAAAATAGTAACCTAAGCATATTTTCCTAAGGGCCTTAATAGACAGAACTCTTGAGTACTATAAGAATGTAACTTCTGTAAGAATACTGACTTGGGATGATATTCTGGTGGGACAAAAGAAATGGCAACGAGTACATTAGAAAAAATAGAGAAGCTGTCAGAAAAACTAAAGTAGTTTCTGTTAACTTGCTAAGCTAATTTCCACAAAGCAGTTCCTCTTTTGAGAAAACATGACATGTAACCTTTGCCAAGCCTAATACATCCAGGCTGTTGGTGTAATTTTATTTTACTAGAAGAATTTGTAGGAGGGAGATTAAAAATATTTTAAGGGCAAAATCAATGAGTATGAAAAAAATCTCTGCATACTTCCTGCAACCTGCAGTACTTACATACTCTGATCTCTCTTCCTTTCAGAGTTCCTTTCTCTTGTTGAGAAGGCATAATCATGAAGATTCATAAGCTCATTGGGAAAAAAGCCTCGGGTCAAATAAGAAACCATCTCTTTAATGCTGATAAAGCAGCTCCTTGGTGTAAAGCTATGAGATAGCTTTGGTGTTGTTTAGGAAGTTTGATGAAAATCTGCAATTTCAGGGTTTGTTTTGATTTGTTTTGTTTTGCTGTTAAAGATACTGATAGAGGGTTACGTAGGTATTACATCACTTACTGGTTTGCTTTTTCCTCTGAATAGCCCAGGCACTCTTCTTACCTTGTGTTTAAAGTAGGGTTACTAGAAGTAATTGAATTGTTTTCCCCAGATGGATCTTCGTTAGGGCTGCATCTTGTGGTCTCTGAAGAACTGGAATGGGAGCAGAAATGAAGGAAAGAATATAGCCCTTGTGGAGCATAATACATGCTAAGTAACTGTGAAGAAGCTGTTTTTCAGGACTTTCTATCTCTGCAGAGCATTTCATGTTCACTGGAAGAGGATTGTGAAGATTAGGCTTCTGTAGAGAATATGGCTACAAAAGAATGGCAAATAAACTCATAAAGATTATACTTCTAGTATTTTCCTTCTAAGCAGGGCTTGTAAAGCACTTTGATGTATCTGATGTAGAGTTTGTAATGGTGTACGTAGTTCTCAAACTGACTATTAGCCAAGTGAGGCCTTAGCTCATTTTCCATTCTTTCTTTAGTCAGGCAAAATTATTATGGAAATCAGTAGGAGACTGGATGAAAACTCAGGGAGGACTTTGGGATGTGGCTTGTTGATGATAGCCAAATATATTACAAACAGCTGCTGTGCATTCCTGTCCCTGCAGATATCATTATCAAGGAAGTTCTCCACTAGGAAGGGAGATTTCTGCCACGGGATGTCTAGGGAATTTCTCTTTTACCCAAGCATTGCATAAGCTGCCCAATCCGGTGCCAGTTTTAGCAGAAACCCCGAATTAGTGAGTTTTAGGATTTTTCCAGTAGATGGCAGAATTGGCAAATCCTTGCTTTTCTAACTCGGCAGTAGTTTGTTCATTGTTGGCTGATGATTTGATATTTCTGGCAGAGAACTTGAAAAAGGAAAGAAATTTATTACTAAAATTTTACTGTATTACACTGTGCCAGGTTCAGTTTTGCAGAAGATATTGTGCCCAAGAGTATAAGTCATTTTCAGATGAACAGCTCCAGGTTTACTGAATGTTTCTCTTTAACTCCTCAAGTCCCATACCATTTGCACCTGCCTAAATGGATTAAAATAACCTCAAGACTCAGAGTAATTCAACCAAAGCAATATCATATTTAATTCTAATAATATTCTTTATTACTTTATTATGCCTACATATTATAAGAGCTAGAAAGGATGTGTGATGTTATTACAATATCTGGGAACTTCACATCATAGTTCTGTTTTAGGATTTCCTGAACATTTTTTCCATTGATTTGGCAGCTCTTATAAACAAAGTGATTTAGAGTCTTAAATTTGATTTTCTAAAAGGACTCTGTGTCTGTGCCCTGAAATACCTAGGCATCCAAGTCATATAGCCATAGTTTAATAAACCACTACACATCAACTGAACCATAGCAACCCCCCATGACTCTGTTCTTAGCCTCCAACACACAAGGTAATATGACTTAATGTGATCCTTTTTTCATTGCTTTCTTCTCATTGAAATAATCTTCTTTGCTTTTTATTTGTCATGAACAGAATATAAAATTTTATAAATACCGTCAGCTGAAGTAATTTATTTTTAAGCTGCAGTAGTTTATGTTTGAACTCATGTTTAATACAACTTTTTAAACTGAAATAAAATGAAAATTATTCTACAAAACTATTAAATCCCCATTTTATAGGGGACTTAGATCCAGATCCATAAAAAAAAAATATAAAAAATAGACACTACAGGTGTGGCAGGGTTTGACCTCTAGGGATCTCACTTTCAGGTAGATTCCTGGGCCCAGGACAACATGCCAAAACTTGCCTTAGAGTGGTCTGAGAGAAATGGGCACCTGAAGAAGGTGATATTAAAAAAAACCCAAACCCTTAAACAAGGGAGGTGATGCCCGTGTAATTGTTACTGTGCTCAGGGATGGACCTTTAACTGCTACCCTCTGCTTGTGGGGTCACAGCCAGACATTTTTGTCTGCAGGATGCAAACTCTTTTCCTGCAAGTTAAGGAAATTTATAAGGAACCTTATAACTATCTTTTTGTAATGACTCAGAAGTGCTGCTTCCATATAAGAGGTTAATAGAGTATTAATCTAACAAATGAGTCCCTCAGCTTGGCAGAACTCAAATCCACGTTTTACATATCCCAGAGCTTTCTCTAAACCCTAGGCTAGAGGGATGGCCTGTATGGGGATAATTTGCACCCTTCATACTGAAGCTCTGAGAATGTTTCTATGGCATTGCAACATATGTTGATTCGTAAGGGGACCAGAGCCTAATTCTGCTCTGCACTGGTTTGTATGCTCAGATGAAATTTGCTTCTAACCTGCTTTCAGAAGCCAGGACTCTCCTTCTTCATCTGAGTTTTAGATGCTGTTCCAGTGATGAGAAAAGATGAGAAATTTTACTAGTACTGCTCTAAAGTCCATGGAAAGCCATTATGACAGCATGGGGTGGGGGTAAAGATCCCCCACTCTGTGTGTTAAGCCTGAAGGATAGGATATCTTAGGATGCTTGACAAAGCCAGACAAAATCATAGTTGACCTGATTTAGTGTGATGATAGTCCTTCAATCAAGAGGTTGGTCTAGAGATCTCTAGAGGTGCCTTCCAATCAACAGTTCTGTAATGTGTAAATAGGCACTTCTGGATCACAGTTTTGGATTTGGATCGACCTACAAAGTGTGGAAGTCCTGTTTCTTTGGCTCCTAATGTCAAACATTATTCAGGTTGTTTTGACAATGTATAATTCCCACTTCCGTTCTGAATCTATCTGATTTTTCCTTGAGTTGAATTTAAGAAGTCTCAAAGTCCTATTTCTTGACAGGTTGAGTAAAATTCCTGCTATTTTCTGGAGATGAAAGATAGTTTGTCAAATTCTTATGTCTCAGTTTTTTGTTTAACCTAGTACCTGAAGTTTCACCCAGGAGGTAACTTGCTTTTTTGGGTGAGTCATGTGTTGGAGGCATATGTCTCAGTCAGTGAGAGGCACAGTGTCCCCCTTGCTGCAGGAACCCAAGGACAGCTATTTCCCACAGACTGACCAGCTCTACCAAGCACATAATGTAGAGGAGGTGGAAAGACGATGGATGTTATGGCATGAATGCTTGATTCACCAGCTGAGAACAAGAGGAAAATCAGGTAGATTGAAATGGAAACTGTAAAATTTGAAGGTGTGCAATTTCTGCAATGTTAAAAAAAGCTCAGCTGCAATTCTTCACTCTGAACTGTGGGGATGAGGGGAACAGAAGTTCTGTGGAAAGGCAGGCAAGATTCAAGCTCTTTAAAATCTGAGCATCTTAGCATTTGGTTACAAAATCAAATTTGGTCTAATTTGGAAATTCATAGATAAATTGTTCAAGTTAAACTATTACTGATAGAATGTGAAAACCTTTGAAATTTCGTTAATGCGTAGTGTTATTCTCAGATTATATTTTATCATCATGTAACTTCCCAGAAAATTGGCAGGAATGAAAAATCATTATGACAGAAAATGGTGCAAAATATGTAAACACTTCCCTTGTTTCACACAGCATTGCTATAGGAAGTAACTTTTGCAATCCAGGGCAATAAATGTTAAAAAATATGCTCAAAGTCATTGAAAAACATGAAGAGTTATCTGAAAATATCTCTGAGGGAATCTGAAGTAACAGAAACATTTTGAAGAAGAAGCTGGAGAACCAAAGAGTCTGAGACTGAACAAACTGTGGGGCTTGCTGGAATAGGACAAGTGAGATTCTGTACGAGGGAATAACTGAGGTTAAGAGACCTGAAAAAATTAAAAAGGAATGCATTCTTCCTGAGAGAAGGAAAATACTCCAAATTTTTTCAGAAGATTTGAATAATGATGCAATATATGCTTGATTGCAGGGAAATAGAAGAACAGTTAACACTAGTGAATTTAAATATTTTGTGAGAGAAGTAACATGAACTGACAAGGATTGGATAAATTTCTTAAATGAAAGCTGGTGTGGGAGAAGACTGTATGAGGATGAACAAAACACTGTGCTTGAATTCTGAAGTGGAGCAGACAAGGAGTGTGAGACCAATATGCAGTTTAAGACTTTTCACAGACCCAACAGGAACCCATTAAGATACACACACGTATGTACAGTATGAGTTGCAGTTAGCACCACAACTTTATGGTAGAGAAAATAGGGACAAGTAGGGTATTATCTTTCAAGTTTGAGGGGCTTTATTAAGTATTAATTTGGAATGAAATAATTCACTGTTTATTATTTTAAGATCCTCTTCCTTTCTCTTTGTACTGTGACTCTGGGATTGCTGATCAAATCCCTTTCTGTGTGAAATACAGAGATGGGTCATCCTTTTTCTGCTTTACAAAGTTGTTCTTCATTTTAAGTAATATGCTCAGATCAGATGAGATTTAATAGTTCTGCAGCCTTCATATGAAAGACGTATGCAATGATAAATATAGTCTGGAAATCTTCTGAATCTACTCAAGAGGTTCATGAGCATGAGTCTGTAGGCCTCTACAATATACAAACTACTGGTTTCAGCTATTTTAAGTGTAAGATTTGGTAATGTGATTAACCTGCTCAAGAAATTACCTTTCTTATGTAGAAATGTTTTTTCTCATGCCAAAAACCACTGACAACTCTTATGTTACCCTTTCCCCCACTTCAGCTCTGTGGTCACTGAAATCAATGTGTTGCTGCTTACTCTAGTGGGAGTAGGATCAAGGCTTTCCAGAATCGAGTGCCTTTTATATGCATGTATCCTTCTTAAGCCTCAAAAGGATTACAACTTTCCCTTCTCTGTTATTTTAGTTATAAATTGATTTAATATAAAATACTATTTGAGGCTATCACAGTCCCTTCCCAAGACTTAATTTTCTCCGGTAACATGACTAAGGTGTGTCAAACAATAACAATCCACATGAATCATGCACTAGAAGGTCATCAAAAGATTTTTTTCAAACACATATAGATCTCAAGAATGCTTGTGTAATATACCTGTATCCTTTATAAACTGAGATAATTTATTACTTCTAATCGTGAAGACTATTTTTATACCCATTCACACTCAGGAGTTTGTCTGAATGGTTTTACTGCATGCTTACTCTGGCAACAGCAGTCCTAGATTTCTAGGCCCACAAAGTTTTACATCTAACATCTATCAAATGCCCCTGTGAACTGTGTTCCATCTTGGAAAAAGGTTTTATTTACACTACATTATATCAAATATAATTTATGTCAATTTCTGCTTTTGTGACCAGTTATTATTTTGGGTGAAGATACCAATATAATTCCAGAGAAAGAGATTTGTGTTTCAGGACTACGTAACTGAGAGGAGCAATCATAGTCTGAACTCATCCTACACAATCATGGGAACTGTTAAGTTTCTGTGTCAACCAGGGTCCAGAAAAGTCTTGGGAACCGAATATTCTACTGCTTTATACTCATAAAGCCTGTGAAATTGGAAACTTTTACTCTAAAATGTTATTGTCTCAAGTAGGGGAAAAAGTAAGTTTTCATGCACAGTGGGATGTTAAGCCTGCAGCTCCCACCTGACTAGAAGCAGAAATAACATTTCTACTTCCATATACATCACACTGGAAATGTACCTGTGCAAAATATGTTTAAAAAGCCTAACATAAAATAAGATGAACTTTCCGGAACTATAAGGAAGAAAAAGTAGCTAACTTCAAAAGATCATTGCAAGAATACTGTTAGAGATGAGAAAAGAAAACTATATTAATCCTGACTCCCTTTACAATTTAAGTTCAATTGTCACAGAATCATAGAATCATTTCAGTTGGAAAAGACCTTTAAGATCATTGAGTCCAACCATTAACCTAACGCTGACAAGTCCATCACTAAACCATGTCCCTAAACACCTAATCTACATTTCTTCTAAGTATCTCTAGGGATAGTGACTCCACCACTTCCCTGGGCAGCCTGTTCGAATGCTTGATAGCCCTTTTGGTGAGAAAGTTTTTCCTAACATCCAAGGTAAACCTCCCCTGAAGAAACTTGAGGCTATTTTCTCTTGTCCTATCACTTATTACCTGAGAGAAGAGACTGCACCCCACCTTGTTACAACCTCCTTTCAGGTAGTTGAAATGGGTGATAAGGTCTCACCTCAGCCTCCTTTTCTCCAGGCTAAACAAAGCCAGATCCTTCAGCCACTCCTCATAAGACCTGTCCTCTAGATCCTTTGCCAACTTCATTGCCCTTCTTTGGACACGCTCCAGAAACTCAGTGTCTTTCCTGTATTGAGGTACCCAAAACTGAACACAGTATTCAAGATGCAGCCTCACCAGTGCTGAGTACAGGGGCATAACCACTTCCATAGTCCTGCTGGTCACACAATTTCTGATACAGGAAGAGGAATGTTCTCTGTCTGTGATACATATCCAACGATCATCCAGGCAATCCCAACCAACATATCCACTACTTAGACACAGAGAAATGATAAAGAACGTGATTTTTCACGAGAGACCGTGTGGGGCAGTACAGGACTCTGACATAATCTTGGCAGCTGAAAGCAACCAGGAACCTTCTCCTGTTCTACTCAAAATGCTAGACACAGTTTTCTGAGACCTGTCCTCCAGTAACAAACACAAAAGGTAATGGCATTTGAAATAAAAGTTTAAAAGAAAATAATAAAAAAAAAACAGTTATGCAATTTTGTTTCTGAGCTAGGGTGGAGGAAAGAGAAATCACCACTCCCAGAGGCCAGCCTTCCATTGCACTAGAAAGTGCTTGGTTATTATCATATATTCTGTTTAAATCTAGCTTTGACTACAAAATATACCACTCTCCTGAGAAACCAACTGTAAGTAGCTGTTACCAAGAATTAACAGGGCAGAGAGGTTGTGCAACAGATCCTTAGTTCAATTCAGTACCAAGTTAAAGAGAGTGAAAGTCATGAATTGCTTAAACTAAATTGGCTGACTTTGTGCTAAGTGAGATCAAACGCGCTCTTGCATTCTGATCCATCAGTTTTTCTGTGGGACAAGCAAACCTCAGCCAAACCCCAGAAATGAACAGCTCAAATTAGACCTAAAGCCTGCCAGCCATTTTCAAAGTTAATAGTGCCTAAGTCTTGAGAGACAGGTTAAGAAGCAAAGTAGAGAAGACTAGAGGTGGCTTTTATCAGTTTGTGACATCTGAAAATGCCTTAGACAACTTTAGAGGATTTTGTGTTTCATTCTATGCAGTGATTATGGAGCAGTTAATATAGGTGCATGAAAGTTTGCAACAAAAATTGGAATATATTTTACCATTCTAAGAAATTCCAATATTTATTATTTAATGATATGTAGAGTGTATTATGTTTGCTGCAAATCAGGAAACATCATTTATGCAAAGTATTGTTATAAAATGGTAGGTAAAGCCATGCATTAGAGAAAGATTAACTGTACAATTAGAAGGACAGAGAAACAGAGAGAGGGAGAAAATGAGAGGAAGAGAAAGGGAAGGATGGAGAGAAGAAGAGGGAAGGAGAGAGAATACCTCAATTTATTATCAATGAATATGGAAACCTGCACATTCAGGTAGGTCTGGAAACCTGCACTCTACTTTACTCAAAGGCTATGAAAGATCTATTACCACAAATTTAAATTAGAGGTTTTGAAATCAGAAGTGACTACTGATGAAACAACCAAGGTGATTACATTTTTCTACTGTAAAGGATGCATCAGTATTTTACAGTATGACATGCAATATCATTGTGAAATAATATGCTGCATAAATGTAGGACCAGGATATTTTTCAGCAGTCAATCTACCTAGGCTACACTTTAAATAATTTTAAAATTTTTTTTTTTTTTGTTTGCAGCCCCCTGTATACATTCCAACGGAGGTGTATTCTCCTCAAATAGCAAAACTGACTGATAAAAGACTTACTTTTCTTAGCTATCTGTCACGGGGTCACTAGTGTCAGGTTTCCAGAGTCCCAAGACCAACAAAACAAAAGAACTGAGTTCTAACAAGCTACGTTCAACATGACTGCAAAATAATTGAATTTAAAAAAAAATCATTTTCTACACAGTCATTTCTGTTGCAATTGAAAATGCAGTGTTTTGAGTGTGATATTTGAAAAAGCATTCTGCTGAACTGCACTCCTATTAAAACTGCATTTTCTCACAAGTAAGGAAGGAAGAGAAAAATGACCAATTTACCTGTTAGCTGATAGACGTGAGTATTTGATAAACTGAGGATAAACAGTCATGGTATTTGGTGAGTTAACCATCTCTGGCTTTTCCTGCTGGGTTTAGATTGAAAAACAAAATTATGTAGGACAGGATTTTTTCAGAGTGTTTAATATTGGCCTACAGGACTCAGCAATAACAAGGTCGGCAATGACTCATACAGAAAACATAGTGTCTGAATGTACAGTATTTTCTTCACTTGGAGAAACACTTCTGAACAAAGAGAAAAGTGTTTAGGATTGGTTCAAGTATTTTTAAGCTCAAGTTACAGGTTTTCAATATGTAACAGCATATGTTCACTGATTTGAGTTTCTTAGGGAACTCAGATGTGTGGATAGGTCAAGATCCAAGAAATCAATCCAAATTATTTTTTCCAGTTTTCTAATCTTCTACTGGTGAATCATGAGAGGCTGAATCCTGGACCTCTCTTGTTAAGGGACAGAGAAAAACATGCTCCAGAGAGTTCCAGAATATTACTTACAGTGATTTGAAAAGCCTAAATATTAAAACAGAAGGGTGACTAAAACACTATCCTCTTGGCTACTAATATGACTATGGATTTCAGTCTGAAAAGGTTTTTCAAAGTTAAGCTGGTTAGGTGGCACTTTACGGATAACTAAGTTCCTCGTATTAAGTTCCGTGTTTACTTTAGGCTGTTTCCTTAAAAATACAGTTTAAATTTATACTCATAAGTATTAAACAAAATATTCCCTGAACACTTCTTTGTTTATAACAACTTTTCACCAAAGGAGTAAATCTTCTCTTCTACTTAATAATAAATGATATGGGGTGGACTGCAGCCAGCCTTCCATTTCATTAGGCTGAAGTGCATTTGATGGCAGTGTTTTGCTAGGAGATGCCATGTTGTTATTTGGAAGGCACTACAAAAGTGCCAGGAGGAGAGCAGGAGAAAGCTGTGTTTGATCCCCTGCTTGACCCTTTTGCACCATCTCCTGTGTTTGTGAAACTGTGTAGCTTTCGGACTGACTGCGTTATGAACTTCTAATATGTGGCTTGGAATGACATCTCCTTAGTTTGTTTTTACACAAGTAATTAAATTACTTTGTTTCTGCTGTGTTTGCGAACAGGCAATGGTGACAGCGGTGGGCCTTAGCCCCTCAGAGAGTGAGGGGACACATCTCTGTGCTGAGACCTGATGATCCTCTAGGAGCTTAGGAAAGTGCAAAGGTTATTGGGGTGTTTGTTAATAAAGGAAGTTAAAAACCAATTATGTTTGCTGGGATTTGTCCATATTACAGATATGACTGCCATCTTCTAGCACACACACACATCATAAACCTGATGAAATACATCATAAACCTGATGACATCATAGTTTTGCTAGCAGTAAAAAAGATTATTTTTCCAATCTCCTCTGTTTTATGTTCTTTCAGTTTTTGGACCATACTTTGCTTTCAATCAAGTCATTTGGGGGAATGGTAAACCAGAAAATAGAGCAGAATGCAGGGGTTTGGTTTCATTTGTGTTAGCTTCATACAAGCATAATTCACATTAGCTTTGTGAGGTAGGTTTGGCCCTAAATCCCATCCTTAATACTTTCTATCTAGTTAATTAACTACTTCTTTAAGAAATGATTGAAGTTGTTACATTTATATGAAAATAGAAGAAATACAAAGTGATTTCATACCTGTAGATTTATTTCCTCTTCAGACCACCAGACTTCAAAGTCTTTTTGCATCTTCATCTTGACTTTTACCATAAGAAGCTGCAGGTGCTCAATCTCTACCTTCAGCACTTTCAAACGATTGAACATTGTTTTATAGCTAATGTGAGAAGAATAAAGTGTATTACAGATCTTCCAACATATATCTGAACAAAGGTTTATCATACCTAGGAGAGCTACAGATTTGAACTACAAAAGAATATATAACTAGAGATGTAGGGGAAAGACAGAGTGGTGGTTAGGAAGAGACATCTCATATTTTATAAGAGCTTCACTGGACAGTAAATACAAGAAACTTAACCCTCAAAACTTTTATTTCACTAAAGAAATCAGTGACATTCAAGTGAGATCAATATTGATCACAATAAAAATACAAGTTCAATCAAATATGTAAATTTTTTCTTCTGATTTCTTAGCTTCTTACCATGAATGAACAACTGGTTGCCAGAGCTTGGATTCAAATAGAGCTGAGACTGATTCCCCTTTCACATGGGAGCTTCATTAACAAGGCCTCTTGGCTAACTTATAGCTGGAGATTTACCAGTGGTATGAAATAGCCAGAAGTTTCCTCAAAGATTGCACATAACATAAATGCTAGCAAATTACTTAGAACTGGTATCCCTGCATCTACTTTCTTTTATCCTCCTGGCTATAGCAACCTCAGAGCAAGGATTGCTTAACCAATGTGTATTCTGCACACTGTTTACACTTAGTCAGTCTTGTATAACCTAAAGGTTTTCCTTAGCTCAAGGAAGGTAGGACATTTCTGAATCAGCCCAAAAGGTTCACAATACATTTGAATTCAAACAAGATTCTAACACTAATCCTCAGGGAGGATATTCAGCTATATTTATTTATCTTTAGCCATTAGCCCAAGTATAAATTTTCCCCACTCATATACTGTGGCATCTTACAGACAAACCAACAGCATACACACAAATTTAAAAACTATCAGTGAACCAGAAAGCTGACATTCTAAAAATGTCAGAGAAAACCCTGAGGGTAGCAATGTGTGCAGACTTGTAATTGGAATATACTATCAGTATAATTTATCTTCTGAAGGATGGCAGAAGTTTGAGGCAGAAGTAATACCTTCTTTTTTCTTCTTCAATTTGCATTCGAAGTTTCTCTTCTACTGGATCAAATGTATTTAGCTCTACAGAAGGACTGGAAACAGCTATAGAAGAAATTATCAGATGTGAGAAATGACTATATGATATCAAAAGAAGGAACATTTAATTAGAACAAAAACTGCTTTTTAAGAGGTAGGTAATGAAATAGGCATCATTAACCATTTCTCTCTTCTGTAAATGTGTCTTCAAATTCCTTATTTAGGCCTTACTTAGCACCAGAGACATTCAATAACTAGTGATTTTAATTAAATTTGTTTTAGTTTTTATTTCAGTAAAGACTGGAATATTAATTTTAGATGTAAATAATAGTGAATTTGCCAATCCATTTCAAAAGTTCATCTTTGGCATAAAACCCTACCAAATGCACTCAACCTGACAGTTTTTGGCTACAAAGACAAGACCAGCACAGAGAAGTTGTGAAAAGGAGCTACAAGAGTAGCCATGCTGGTGCCTGGAAACAGAGTAACAGAAAGAAGAGTAAAAGACATATCCTGAAGGAGAAAATAACCTTGGTAAGCCATAAATTCAGAGAATTAGTATAAACCAGGAAAATCTCCTGAAACTATGTGAAAAATTTTTCAAGGTAAAGGAGAACTGAGGAAACACCTTAAGAGTAGCTTATGTTAAACTGAGAAAGCAGCTTAGGATTTCCCTATCCTATAACAGGGCTTGTTAGCATGCAATACATAATATGCTCATTCTGAGAGATGGCAAAACAGGTTTTTTCTGTCATGGGTTATATGTGAAAGGAGAACAGTGAAAGGAAATGTAAAGTTACCTACTAGTATTACAACAGTTTCTATTTCTAGAATGAATGACGGTAGTTTCAGGTTCCCAAGAAAACATGTTTAACCTTTTTAACTGCAGAAAAAAATGTAAGAAACAAAAGATTTGCTGTACAATACGTGCAAGTTTCCATCCCAACTATGATTTCTGCCAAGAAAATAAATTCTACATCAACCTGTCATGAGGCCTGAGGAGTGCACCCTCACTTCAAGGAGAGGAATTCTGTCTGGAACAAGAGGGCATGAATGACCTCTCCTCACCTGTCAGCACGACAGTTAAAACCATTAATCCTTTGTTGTAGCACCCTGTAGTTTAATACAGATGAAGCTGAAAAGCATTTTATTTCATTTAGAGTCCTTAGGCCAAGCATGTTAATACAGATGACCAAGTTGAGCACAATGCATGCATGATTCTCATTTCATACATTGAAAGGGTTTGCTAGATGTGCAAGCTACAAAAGAAGGGTAGAGCGAAGATATTTGTGGTGGAGAAGTTACCACCAAAAGTTTAAGAAATAAACTGCTCCATGTTGACGTGAACACACAAGCCAGGAGGTGCAAACATCATGGCAGAGGAGATGCTGCAACAGTGGCATTATATAACAAGTTATACCTGAACACAGCAGATAATAAGGTGTCCATCATAATCATGCCAGAAACTTTAAGGAAAACAGTAAACCTTTCAGTGATTACAGGGGGTCAAGATTTTCTGATTTGTCAGATGACATCTTCAGGAGAAGGCATAATGTGGGAAAGTGCAGAGCTAAGAGTGGAGATGTTCATTGCAAAGCTCCTGAGGCTTCACACTTGTTCTGACCTTCATGAATGCACAGCAGCCAGGCTTGAGAGAAATGTGCTCTTGTGGAACAAACTGAAATGATTTAGGGAGCTACTGCCCTGAATGAGTTGTGCTGCCAGACCACGTAGGCACCCTTAGTACGTTCCATACAAAACCAACCAGACTTAGCTTGAGGTGTCTTCAGCAGTGATTAAAGGGGACTCTCCTAAGCACAATGAAGTGCATTTAACCTACCTGCACAGTCTGTTACAGTGTCTAAGTTCAGGAGGTAGCAGCTCTAGCCCCCTAGAATGAAGGGAAATAATACAGAGTGGAACACAGTAACATCTTAACATGTTAGTTATTTCTGAAATGAGGATTTCCCTAAAGAAAACATCACCAAATTCTGCTAGTCATTACAGTGATATGAGGCCATAATATTGTATATTTCCTTCCCTGACTTATTTGGATATCTAGCACTTGGACAAATATTTTTGCACTAGCTCTGAAAGTGGAGGCAAACTGGGCAGAATTTTGTCACTTAGGTATAAAAACACCAAGAAAAATGTTTTTATGCTTCTGATTACACACTGTAGAAGGGATTATTTGCTTGCAAACTACTCTCAGAAATAATAATAAACCCTTTTACATCAGACGAGTACCTCTGTCACACAAAGGCCCCATCATCCTTAGCCCAAAAACATCCTCAGCCTTGAGTATAGCTACGCCCATTATCTCTAGCAACATGCTGGTGATGAGAGCAAGAAACACAGTGGTAGGCGAGGTGAGCAGCACAAAGTATGTACAGGATGGAAAGAGATGAGTACACTGGAAGCTGATGGAGACCCAGCAGCAAAAATAGGATTGGATATTTCATAAGTAAATGGCTAAAACTTAGACATGTTCCAGTCAGAAAAGCAGAAGAGATCTCATCACAGTGTCAGGTGAAGTTCAGTCCTGAAATATTAACTATCAGGTATAATTTCTACAAGTACACAGGAGAGCACAAAGCGGTATCTGCTTTGTTCACTCAGGGGTGACTTTTAATTCACTGATTGGCAGTTTGTCATATGAAACTTGATTGTACAGCCTAGTTCTGTGTTTTTAGCACATCAGCTGGGATGAGCCATTCAGCTGATGTGCAATATCACATACACTTTTAGTGCCCCAGTGACTTCTCCTGGGAAACAAACGCAGCCAGTGCAATTTGATCCTGGATAACGCAGACCCCGTTTTCAGAGGGAGGTATGATGCACACATTTAGGAAAGCATTGCCTCTGTGTATACTAGAGGTTTCTGTTGGCATACCTCCATCCAATTCCACACAACAGAGTTATTTTAGTGCAAGTCAGCAATAAGGAGTATTAGTTCCTCAACATTAGTGTAACTGCACATACAGTCGAGTGGCAAAACTTATGAATCCTACATTGTGGAGCCTTTTTTTAGGAGTACTGGGTCACATGACGTAAAGAAGAGATTCTGACAGTGCTACATTGGGTAATAAAATAGCTAACAACTTTTATATCTATCTTCAGGCTGTTTTTATTTCATCATTTCAATGAGGCACAGGACACAATTGATACCAGCTGCCTGCTTACAGAGGAAGCAGGTATGTTGACCATCCATATCATAAAGGTTTGTGGGTTTGGGATTTTTTTTTTTTCTCATAAAGAAGATTGTAAGATGCATTTAAAGATATAATGATTTTATTCTAATGAAAGGGCCAGTTTTGGAGCACAAGAAGTAGTACATTTTACAACACATTCCACATCACCAAATCCCACAATACCAGAAAGAAATGATAGCACCTGCTAACTGGATCACTATTTCAAAGCAATAAGGCAAGCGTTGATGAAAACCAATATTTCTAGCGTGAGATGCCAAGTGTTATCACCATAGTTTACTGCAAGCTGGCAGCAACTTGAAATACTCGGAAAGATTCTTGTCTACAGTCAGGAAAATTTGCAAGAAACTCTCTGTGACCCTGAACTTTATACTCTCTGGAGTGCTCATATATTTCTCAACCTGAGTGTATCCTAGAAGTCAAACTCCTAGGGATTTATTGTCTTGTGCCTCAAATAACCTTATGCCCTGCCCTCCAGCTGTACTTTTGCAGTCAAGATTTTAATTTTTTCACTGGATAGTCTTTTGTTTATCTGCTTAAATTTATCGTCACTTGAAGTAACCAAATTTAGACTTGACTTCAGTATCCAGTTAATATTTTTATTCTTTTCCTTATTTATCAGCTTTGTGGATTTTGGCAAACTTGGGCTTCAGTGCTTTCAAGCTGGAACATATGCTGTCTTTTTTTTTTTTTTAAAAAAAAAAAAAGGAAATACCTGTCCATCATTATTCAGGATCAGCTTAAAAGTAATGCTGCCCTAATTTCTTATTCCTCCCCTGGGCCATGTCAACCTATGTTTGTCACTGGGCACAACGTGTGTATCTTTTACAAAAGCAAATTTGGTTAAGAACAGTGAAACTCAGGAGAAGATGAAAATACTCTGATGTGAGGAAGAGTTTATATTGTGGGGTTTAGAGCAATCTAGACCTAATCCTAATGAAATAGATTTTTTAAAATTTCAGTCACTTGGTCATGAGCATCCATTGAAACAAACTGTCCTATTTGCAGCTCTTCACAAGTTTGTGCATGTGTGTAGGATGTGTATTTTGTGGATTTTTATTTTCATTTCAATCACTGAATTTAGTAAAACGACCACTGGTAAGCTGCCTTTCTTTTTATCATTGTGTTGTTTTTTGTTTTACTGACTTAATACTGGCTCAAACTAACTGACTTCCAATGCACACCTGGAAAGTGGAGCTATTTTTTCCAGTCTCTGTGAGCTGTTTTTGCTAAATACAGACTCACACTCCAATTCCCTCAAATTTCTTCTCTGAAACTAGTCATCTATATATTTGCTCCAAAAATATATGGCATATGAAACAGAAGGCGTTGCCTTCATGTCAGCTGCACTCAAGGCATGAAAGTTTCTGAGACCATTGTGGCCAGAAATTCTCTGTTGGTTTCCAAATATACAAGTACAATATACTGGGGAAAAAAAAAAACCAAAAACCAAACCAACCACCCAAACACAAAAAACCCCCACCAAACCAAAACCAAACAACCAAAACCAACAAAGAAAGAAAGCAGCTTCAAGTTTAGTATGTTCCATACATGCAAGTTGATCTAATGGAATAGTAATAGAGCTGGGTCTTGGTCAGGAAACCACTACTAACTCAGATTCTTGCCTACACTTAATAAATACATTTTACCATTTGATTGCATGAGATTATTGTTGCATCATTTGTCTTGGTCATAATATTAGATAAAACCATATCTGATATTTAAATGATCTTTCTCTGCCTCCCAAGAAGGGGTGTGCTTTGTCATCCATAAATTTTGAGGTTTCATTAGCATTAATTTCTACAGCTTCCAAGAGAAAAAAAAAAGTCTCTTTGCTAAGTTTTGTCAAATTCTTCT